TCACCAGAATATAAAATCCTGAAAGACAAGTGAAAAATTACAGCAATTAAAAACATTAGCTTTTGCCAGGGTTAAATAGTGAGAGTTAATTTATTCTATATGTTCTCAGAAGTAAACCAGTTTGTGTGCAAATTACCATGGTTGTCTATTACTTTGAATATAGTTTATGCTTTCCATAAAGGCAGGTCAGCTTATTTTCCACTGATTGACACACTAGCATCATTTAGTTGAATTCACATACACAGTAAAAAAAAAATCTCAGCACTTCTGACAGCTCATCAAAAATATATTTTTGACAAGTTAGATTTGCTGTCTAAACGTAAAGGGTCTGCCTCTTTTTGTTTTCCAATGGACAGTCCTACCTTTGCTCATAGTGCTTCTGGCTTATTATTAGAGCTGCTCGGGAAGTTTTCTAATGAAAATGCTGATTAGTTGAAACTGTAACTTTCCAGGGGAGAATATCTGTTTCAACCACTTTTTTATTTAGGAAAAAGATTTCAAAGGCTTTAAAATGTTAAAAGTATCCCATTTTGCCATTTCTAGAAAGAAACAATGGGTGCGTCCACACATGCAAGCACGTGTGCTTACAGCTGCTTAAATAGAAGCGGTGCAAATTTGAGCCAGGGCTTTTTGCTTCAGCTCATGTGCTTGGACATGCACTTTGTTGTAGAGCAAATTCTGCCACTTGGGGCACAATAACCCTGCCTGGCTCCTCCCGGATCTTCAGCCAGGGGGAGCTAGAGCCCGGGGCCAGCACCTGTACTGTCTCCAGCAGTATAAGAAGCCGCCCTGGCAAGCAGCTCAGGGCTACTAGCTCTTAGGAGCTTCTGGGGCCCAACCAACTGGTACCTGGGGACACTATCTGAGAGTTCCCTGCACCCTCTACCCACTGCAGCAGTCTGGCAGTGGGGGCTGCTGCCTGGCTGTGACCTGCTGTGCACCTGCCAGACTTGGATGGGGACTGCAGAGCCAGTAGAGGCATCTGCCCCTCTGGACCAGCTGCCAGTGGACTGTGGTTGCAGGGTTGGCCTTTGTGTGACACTACAGCCATGTGTGCCCCTGCCTGGCGATCTGGGTATCTATCACCCGGAAGATGTTCTGGGTGTGGTGGCCTGCTTTGAACTGTCAAAGCTTGTCCTCCTGGCCCAGTGGTCCAGTAGGTCAGCCATAGCCAGATGGGTCCAAGGTGCCAGCTCTGAGCAAGCAGGGTCCTGCCACTGGCCTCCCTAGCAGGAATTCTGGTGTTCCCTATTGAAAAACTGAAAAATCCCTGATAAAAAAAATCCCAAAGTCACTCTGTAAAATACCCCCAAATTCATGTTCCTCCACAAGTAAAACAAAAGACCACTATAAAGACAGAGAGCAAGACAGAGATCATTTGGACAATGTTTTATTGGTATATCTTACAGTGTTAAAGCAAGTCTCTTATCATAATAATAAAGTGAACTCTAAATATATGTTTCATGAATTCATGAATACAAGTTTTGCTGCACTCCCACAGGGTGATGGCCCTCACACAAGGGGTTTGGCCTCCCCAACAGGGGATTCGGCCCCCCAACAGGGTGTTCGGACCTCTCACAAGGGGTGTGGCCCCCTGAACCGGGGGTTCAACCCCACACAAGGGGTATGCCCCCCAACAGGGGGTTTGCCCCCCCAACAGGGGGTTCAACCCCCACACAAGGGGTATGGGCCCCCAACAGGGGGCAAATCCCCCCCAACAGGGGATTCAGCCCCCACACAAGGGGTATGGCCCTCCAACAGGTGGTTCGGCCCCCCAACAGGGGATTCAACTCCAAAACAAGGGACA